GCCTCCTCTCAGGGTGCTCGTCGAAGTTGCAATGAGGGGGGTAATCATGTAGGGGACACACTGCTATACATATGATAAAGTTAAAATGTTTCAGCCTTAGAATGTACCACGATGTTTATCTAAGATTGTAACATTTGGGGTAAATGAGACAAAATAAACAGATTTGTACAAGGAAGCTCATGGAAGGAAGTCCAAATAAGCTTACCTAAATTACATATGATAATGATACACAGTAAATTGAACATAGCATACACAAAATTGTCATGACTTTAAGAAAACAAAATCTTGAAATGATGCTTAAAATATTTTGTCAATAGATACACCCACATCTGAAGTGCATCTTTTGTCAAAAGAGGAAACTAAACTTCCTGTGATCACAGGCCGACAATTAAATAGAGGAAGTTTTATTATGAAGACAGCGCTACTGTGAGAGGAAGAGAAAAGAGAAGTTGATTTATATTTACAGAAAGAAGGATTTTGAAAGGGAAATGACTTCCCAAGTACATAATATAAAGATACAGTCGTATTGGGGCTGGGTTGATCATCATACATATCTCATGAAAAGGTGAAACCATGCACACGAAGAAAAATGACACAGGTACATACTAGGTGCATACTACTGATAATAAGAGATTGCTCCAAAGATTTAAGTAGTTTGGTTTGTCAAAAAGAAATCTCACATGTTCAGACTGGGTGAAATTTCATGTTCTCCTGGGTTCACTGATTTGTTGAGTTTTGACTCATATTGACACAGGCCAAGTAGAAAGGGATATTTCAACAGGCAATTTTGACTCGATTACTTACACAACATAGATACAATACAATAGTTCAGCGGGATTCAGCCTTGTGTTTAGGGGGTTTGAATCCCATGCCTTTAGCTTTCTTTGCCTTTTTCTTCCCTGTTTGAAAGGCCTGCCAGCTCTCCACTCTGTTTTGACGAGATTCCTACAATGTAGGATTCAGTTTTAGATCAGATTGTTGTTTATCATCACTGTTATAAAAACACAAACAAAAATAGAGAGATTATTACCTCAAAGTTTTTCTGCCATTCTTTTTCTGTGTTTGCCTTTTCTTCTTCCTCTATTTCATTCTCTCGTTTTCTTTTGCGTTCCTCCATATCTCTATTAGCCAGTTCCCTACGTTTCCTTTCCATGTCTGCAAAGAGTTTCATTGTTCTGACATAAACAGCATGTTTGTACTTATCAGGATCATCCTCTTCAATCCTTCCATCCTTTCCCTCCTTTTTAAATTTCTTCCGTTTCTCTGCAAGCTACATGTAATCAGAGCAAAGGAAAACAAAATTACAGAAAATTAGAAAGGGGTAAACATACAGATCTAATGGTAATATCAAAATATATAAAATACCATTTGATCAGTCCTAACGCGAGCCTCCTCTATAACATCTAGACATTTAGCTCTCGTATCTTCATTCTCTAATATTTTCCAAGCAGAATTAATAACTGGAAAAATAAATGAAAGTAAATCAATGCCATAAGTCTTTTAGGGGTAAAAGCAAAACTCAGAATTTTCAGGGGTTTATAACATATCTTGACTCAAAAAATTAAATTTGAAGCCATTCAAAACATGTTTAAATACATACTCTCAAAAGCCTGCTGAGCACGTTCAATGTCATCCTGATTTTTATCAGGATGGACTAATATAGACATCTGAAAGATGACAATTAATAATGTGAGTAATGAAATTGTTGATATAATTATAATAGTAATCAACATCATTAAAACGAACTGTACATTTCAAACACTTTAAAACACGACCTGGTAGTAAAATAAATAAATAATGTTAACTTACTCTTCGATACTTCTTCTTAATATCATCTAGGGATGTATCTGGTTCAACTTGTAGAACTTCAAAAGGATTTAGGTTGAAATATGTGGATCCTGGGCGAAGCAGGCGTTCTATTTGTTGTTTAGGGGTCAAAACTGAATCCCTCTTCTCAATTTCTTTCACCTGTGAAAAAAGTATAAGTCAAGATGGTAAATAAGGCCTTAATCTTGTAGGCTAATTCAGACTATATTTTAAAATTTCAAATAATAAATAAATGTTGAAGTGTTTGACAATATGTCGTATTATTAATTGCCATAGGAATAGAGAAACAAGAGATTTAAGAAAGCTGAAATTGTGTCAAGGCTTGTTGATCTAAATTTGGCTTCCACATTAGAAGACGTATCGTTCTGGATTGACCAAGGTAATCAGAATCAAGTACTAAATCAAACACACACTTATCCGACAATACTTCAATGGCCATGAGCTTTATTATCAGTAAACGTCTTTATTTCGATCAAGTGTCAAAAGAAGTTGTAGGTTAGGTATCAGGACAGATAGAGCGGCTAACGGTAGGACGTCATTGCGGCCTGTAGTAAAACGACAAAAGTGCCTTACTTCAGTGTAAAAATGGTTAAATAGCTCTTCTTTCTGCGGTTGAAAGGCATTTTCGCTACTTTTTCCGGGCTGGGACGATGTAGCACCAGACGCCATTTTCGATTTGTTATCAATTTTCTCTGGAAATGTTTTGGAAAGCCACAGCGGCTTTTGATTCGTATTGATATTTGCAGAGTGTCTCTGCAGCGAGGCTTCCCCCCGTTTTTCTCATATGATGACGCGCTCCTATAGCCTCCTCTCAGGGTGCTCGTCGAAGTTGCAATGACGTCAACCGCCGCGGAAATGGCAATACGGCGTTGCGATACGGGCGCTTGCAAACACTTTCGCCAGGCCCGCTAGGTGGCACTCAGGTAGCTGCTGGAGGGTCATGAGATGAGACGGCTAGCGGTTAGTCTCCGGCGCATCTCAAATAGATGCAAATTAGCATCTGAACAGTTCCAATTTATTTGTACCTAGCCTATCAACGTTTTCTTGTGTCTGAGTTGCGTTACATCTATCTGAGATGTCCTGACGAACGCATATCCTCGCTGGATACAGAACTGCCCTTCTCCCATTTCGAGAGCGCACACAGCAAAGGGCTAAACTACTGAACGTGAGGCCATTCATTTATGATCGCCTCGACGTGACTCTTTGACCGGCAATGGGCCGGTAAAATGACACGGGTGGTACTCCCCCGCACCGCGCTGGCCACACACTAAATTTGAAAGGACTTTTATTGTCCATAGAAAGACGCGTTTTTGTGCACATTTGTGTCACAAATTAGCATCCTTTTTTCTGGACAGTTATTTTTTTGTCCATTAAGATGCAAATTCCTCATTTGCTAGATTCCTATCTGCATCCGGTTGAGATGTGTACAAAAACGACGAGCCTTTCTACGGACAGTAAAAGTCCTTTCCTGATTTAGTGTGCAGGTGTCGACGTCGACGAGTCTCTTCTTCTTCGCCGTTTAACCCACCGCGGTCGAGCTCGAGTGCTTCCGTGATAATGAAGTAACGAAGGGGAATTCCCAGGGAGAGAGGAAAGAGGGGGAAGGGAGAGGGAGGAGGGGAGAGGGGGGGGGCGGAGGAAAACCAGGCGATGCGGCAGCGACGTCGGCCTGCGGTTGGTGTCGACGGCCACCACGTGACGGAGGCGAAGAGGAGCACGATTGAGGCGTACTCGACTCGCCTTTAGTGAGGCAAGACTCAGTGACCGGCTAGTGTCCGTGGCGCGCGGCTGCACACGACTCCGCCTTCTCTTCGGAACGCCCCCGCCCCACCCCGCCCCGCCCTCACAGCGCACATCCCGCCGAGGTCAAACGACAGGTAGGCGATGCACTGCGCGCTGCCCGCGCCTCCAGACAACCACCGACCGTCGTCGATCGGGTTAGGCCAACCCGCAGTACGCGCATGCACTGCAGGCTAGATGTTCCCACCTATCAGGCGCCCTGACGGCTTGCGAATCCCGAAATCGCAATGCATTCTCGTGACGGCGAACGACTTTATGGATACTCGCAGCTAGTTAAAATTATTTGTAGATCTGCGATGCGACTACTCGTACGTGAACGGGCATTTATACTCCTCTTGTTCGTGATTGAATTGCCATCGTTGGCAGGTGTACGAATGATGCCATTCGCCCACCCACTAAGAGTGTAAATAAGTTGTCGGACATCTACACCAGTGTGAATTTATTTGCTTACAAACAGGTGTGCGACAGTCGTACGCTTGTTTTTCCAGTGCGGGGATGGCTATTTTTTTGCGGCTGATAATATATATTTTTTACAGTGCATGATCAAGTACCCCACCAACCCCTGCAGCACCGTAGCCTACGGTGACATTCACCGTAGGCTAACCGTAAGCCAAGGTGAATATCACCGTAAGCTACGGTGCTCCAGGGGTTCACCGTAGCTTACGGTGAAATTCACCCTAAGCTTTTAGCAGTGAAGCCTTGTTCATGTTCATCTCTCTTTGGGCACAGAAACCTATGCTGATATAACCTTCACCAGGAAAGAAGCACATGAGAGGGGGGGGGGGGGGGGGAAGGGGGGGCAGCACCTTACCCCTTCAGACGATGACGTGTCTCTCCTTACCGGGCTGTTGTATATCTGTTGAAGTCTGTTTTTTTTTTTAGGTTATTATTGTTTTTATTGTTATCAGCTGAGCCACACTCATCGCCTGACCGGAGCGACTGGTTTTTTGTAATCAGTTGGTCAGTACAGGTTTACTCAGCCGTCTGTCTGTATGTCTGTCCGTCCGTGCGTCACATTTGCGTGCAGTTTGCCTAGCTCCGTCGAGCTGCAGAGGGCAAGGTGTAAACGCAACCAAGATAAAAATAGAAAGAGTAGAGATTTTAATTTTCTGGAAGTTTTCCGAAAAAATACGTTTTTCCGGAAAATTCTCCGTGAAAATTTGAAAAGTAATAATTAAAAAATGAGGGTCTTTTTTTTTTTCAAAATTTTCGTTAATTTCCTTTTTTTTCGGACTTTTCCTATTTTTATTTTTTGTTTATTTTTTTTTACCGGCCTTCAAATCTCTAAGGAAAAGAAAAACCATTTGAGATGAATCAGTCGCCTCAGGCAGGAATGGCCTGCTGAATAATGAGTCACTTTGCCGGGAATAGTCACGAGAGCGTCTCTGTCTGGTTGCAGCATGCGTGCCCCGCCGCTGTCGCCGGTGCTGCTCGCGGTGCTCGTCGCGGTGCTCGCGGGTGGCGCCGCTGCTGTGCCCGCCGCCCGGCCCGGCTACATCGAGTGCGTGGACAGCAGCGAGTGCGGCCCCTGGGAGTGCTGCGTGCTCGGTGAGTTTTATTATTGTGTAGCCCGAGGGGTACATCACTTATCAGCGCACACCTTCAAAAAATCCACCAGAAAAAAACAATGAAAACTAAATTTAGAATGCGAGAAAGATGTCTAAAAAAAATCAGAAAAAAATCAGATTTCTTTTAGAAAAAATCCCAAAAAATTAGAACAGAGTAAACCACAAATTTCCGGATTATTAATAATCCATTTAAAAATCAAGTTAAAACAGAAAAATCGGTGTACGCCTGAATTGATAGTGAAGTACCCCTCGAGTGAGCCTGCACGACGCAGCTGACGCTGGTGGTGGTTTGCACTGGCCCGCAGGCGGCGGCCGCTTCAGCCTGCCCCGGTGCGCGCCCGTGTCGGACGTCGGCGACCCCTGCCGACCCGGGGCCCCGTACGGCGCCGTCCAGCCCATCAACACCACCGTCGTGTACCCGGACGGCACCGTCGTCAACCTGCCCGCCGTCTACCTGCACATGTGCCCGTGCGCCAACGGGCTCAGCTGCGACCGGCCGGACGCCGTCTGCGTCGCGCCGACCGAACACGAGCTCAATGCCCTGTGAGCGACGTCGAAACGGTATCCGAACGATTGCGCCATCTCGTCATCGTTTATTCAAACTGTATTCGCTACTTCCAATTTATTTACCTAGAGTATAAATCAAACCGGCCGTTAAAAAAAAAATCAGTAAAATATGAAATGGGATTTTAATAAATGATAATAAAGTGATAATGTGGATTTTGAATGCTATCTGGAGAATATTACCGGGTATAAGGGACTCTATGACACCGCCCTACTAGAAGGCGAAAAGAGAACATCAAGAAAGTACGTCCGTTCTTGTTTTTCTCAAATTCAGTAAATTGACTGGAGCTCGGGGCGCCTGCGAAACTCGGGGTAGGCCACCCCGCGGTACACACATGCACTGCGAGCAAGTTGTGGCCTACCTACCAGGCGCTATGAGATGAGAGGTCGCAGAGGCTTCAGCTTGGCAGGCTCTTTACGGTGACCATCGTACCTCCCCCTCCCTCCCCCCCAATTTTCCGTCAATTTTTCGGAAACTTTCCAGGACTTCCAACCCTACACACGACATCTCTGCTCATTCATTCGTTATTTCGCCCCCCTCCCCAGCGAATGTGTCGCGTCGCGAGTATTTGGTTTTTCGGCGGTGTACGCGCGTCGCCCAAACACACATGCCAATAACAAGTGTGGCCGCCCGTCCGCTCCATTGAGTGTTGCAGCAGCACTGCGCGTGGGGGGGGTATTGATATTTGCAGAGTGTCTCTGCAGCGAGGCTTCCCCCCGTTTTTCTCATATGATGACGCGCTCCTATAGCCTCCTCTCAGGGTGCTCGTC